GATCCCAACTCCAATATTTTTCTTCTTCAAAGATCACATCTTGACTTATCAAGACTTTATTTGAGATAAGATCATACAACTTGAATTCCTTGGATTCATCATTAATACCAAGAACAAAATTAAAACTTATGTTCTCTAGCTTTTTCCTTTTAATATCTAGAATTTATGCATGTCCCACACATCCAAATACTATAAAATGCTCAACTGAACAAAGGTTTCTCACCACTCTAAGATTTCTCTATTGTCATTCCTTTAACAACTAATATGGTAGATTTATTTAGAACATACACTGTCCACTTCACTACTATAGGCCAAAAAGTTTTTGGAACATTCATCCTAAATAACACTTATTTTACTAGATTCATCACAATCTTGTTTTTTCTTTCAATTACTTTATTTTGTTATGGAGTATATATAGACTATAGTCAATTTCCTTTTTACCTCATTCAACTTGAAAAATTCATTAAACTCCAGTGAATAAAATTCTCCTTCCATGTTTGTATGAAGACATTTAACAGGCAATCAACTTTATTTCTCAACAACCAGTTGAAGTGATAACAAGCTTTTGACTTTTCCAATAGAAAATATTCTAATTCTTTTCTAGGGTAATAATCTACAAAGCATAAAATATCCTTTCTTGGATATTAAATGATGAAGTTATTAGACCACAAATGTCTACATGGATCAGCTACAACTTTTGGCTTGCTCTCCATTAGCTTTTCTTTGACACTAGCTCACAGTGCTGCTTCCCCTTAACATAATTAAATCAAACAATTGTAGAAGTAAATAACCAAGGAAGACCACAAACCATATTCCAAGTTTGAAGTAATTGCAAGCTTTTGTGACTAAGATGAGCATATCTACAATGCCACAAGTTAGGAAGATCATGTGTTGTGATGTTAAAACTTTTTCTTTCTTATCTGGAAACCTAGCCTATATTATAAAAACATTATGTTTGAAGTCAAGTTGATATGTAGGATTAATCCTTTGTGAGGATGATAGATGTTACACAGTCCTAACTTGATCATGATTGTTAGCCTTTTCTCTCATAATTGATCGATACTCAAGAAATTGTTCGAGTTTAGGTACATAAAAGATAACTTGTATCACATGAGTGACACCACTGGTGCTTAATCTTATACTTCATTTTCTTAACACATTCATCTTTGTGTTATTTCCAAGCTTTACTATATGCCTAAAAACTTCATCTATCTCACAAAACTTTGGCTCATCTTTATGACATTTGTAGCATTCAACTATGGCATAATTGAAGCTTTATCTCCCTTTCCCTTGTCCTTTACCTTTTTTCCCTTGTGCCATAAGAGTTATCTTCCCTCATTGAAAATGCATGCTTTACCACACTTGGTCTAATAAACTTTTTTCCATGAACAATTAGGGAACTTTATACTTCATCAACAATAAGGTTATCAATATTCTTAGACTTTTCAATTGAGACAATACAATAGTTGAATTTCTCAATAAAAGTTCTAAGAATTTTCTCCACGATTGTAACTTCCTTCATGTCCTCTCTATTACTCCTCATCTTGTTAGTTAAACACATAACTTGAATGAAGTACTCACTTATGGTTTCACCAACTTCCATCTCAAGAACTTCAAAATCCCTCCTTAGTGTTTGGAGAGTTAAATGCTTCATTTTTGCATTCCCTACGAACTTCTTCTTAATTTATTGAGTCCCATATTTTTTTCGTGCTTTTCTCCAGAATTTGCTCAAGAATTTTTCTATCAATATATTGAAATAGATAATTCTTAACCTTGAGGTCTTTCAACTTTAGATCCTCCAATTCATTTTGTTTCATCTCGGTTGACTCCATTTCTTTACCTAATTCTTCATAACTATAGTCTCTCACTAGTACAAAAATCACTTTTAAAATCGGGATTTTAAAATCGGCTCTTAAGCAGCCGCTATTAAAAGTGACGCGGTGACAATTTTGTAAATAATTACATTATTTTTTAAATCGGCTACCTTTTAACCGATTTTAAAAGGTCTTTGATGCAACTTTTAAAATCGGTTCTTAAGGAGCCAATGTTAAAAGTAGCTTTTAAAATCGGTTACATAAGAGCCGATTTTAAAAGTGGTACTTTTAAAATTGGCTACTTAAGAATCGATTTTAAAAGTTACTTTTAACATCGGCTTCTTAAGAACCGATTTTAAAAGTATCGATTTTAAAAGTGCTACTTTTAAAATCGGCTCATTAAGAATCGATTTTAAAAGTACTATTTAATGTCAATGCCTATATTTATTCTCTTTCCTTCCCTCCATTCTCTTTAATCTTTTTCTCCATTTCTTTCTTTACTCTCTTGCACTCACATCTAAGGTAATATTCTAATTTTTTCTCATGTCTTACATTTTGGTAAATTTTGAATCTAGAACAGCCCATTCTGTAATCAGAACGGACCGTTCTGGTTGCAGTACGGGCCGTTCTCCAATCAGAACGAGCCGTACTGCAACCAGAACAATCCGTTCTGATTGCAGAACGGGCCGTTCTAATTATAGTACGGGTCGTTCCAGACTATAGTTTTAAGCTTTTTGGGAAAACTGGAACGACCTGTGCCAATTTAAAAGTCTATCTTTTAAAATCAGTTTATGCGTGATCAATGTTAAAAGTCTTACTTTTAAAATCGGTTGATGCATGACTGATGTTAAAAGTATCACTTTTTAAAATTGGCTCTTTTAAAATTGGTCAGAAAACCGATTTTAAAAGTCAAAAATGACCGATTTTAAAAGTATTTCTCCACTAGTGTCGACCAAACTCTAGTACCCATTTGATCTCAAAAGATTTTCCATTAGCTAGCTCTAATAGTTATAGTGACCATCAAAATGTGGTATGGAAGTTTACATGAAATTCTTCTCCTCTCTTATTTTTTATTCACTTAAAGTCTATTTCTTTTTGTTATATAAAGCTCTAAGGTGGAGCTTGATACCAATTTGTAAAGATTGCAAAATAATTCTTAAATAAATTGGAGAATAAATATTTTACTAAATATATAGAATACGAGCCTTTAAATAGACATTTGTCAATCATCTATAGCAAAAACATAAAACTAACTAAAAAATAACTAAAGCTAATTCAAAATAAGCTAATTAAAGATAATAGAAACTTATTAAAATGCAATTTGGTTTACTTAAATAGAAAAATAAGATAAATAATAAACTGAACAAAACCAATGTACAAACTTCAACTTTTTGTATTTCTCTCTCTCTCTCTCTCTATATATATATATATATATATCAAATTTTAACAATCCAACAGTTGATTTAAAAGTTTATAATGCTTAAATCAAGTTTGCAAATTTAAAAAAAAATTAAAAACCATTTGATACTCTGTTTTATTAATTTAAATTGATAAGTAATCATAAAAATATTTTATACATTGATTTGAATTAATAAAATGAAGTATCAAATAATTTTCAAATATTTTGAAAATTTGCAAACATAATCTATATATTAAAAAAAATTTAATTCAATTGTTAAATTTGATGTAGAACATAAATTATTGGGTGAAGTAAGTCTAAGTAAGTTTACTCTTAGAATAAGTGAATTTTGTGTGTACGTGTGTGCGTGTGCGGGTGGGTGCACTAGTGTAAAAGAGGTATTTTACGTGGGAAATAAGTCTGACGTAAATGCGGGAGACGTAAGATTTACGTCGGATCCACCATGTCCAACGTAAAATGGTTTCCATCCTCCCCATCATCGGCGGCGTCTACCTTTCCCGCGTCGTAATCGAAAGCCCCAGGTCAGCTTCGAAGTTGTCCTCCTGGCCCTCTACACGCACAAAAAAACCTTAGAATTGCAAACGTCAAACTCAATATCTACTTCGGTAATTATTGAAATCGTCTCGAGCGATGTCGTTCTCGACCTCTCAGCGATTCTGTCCTCATTGTATTTGAGTCCCTCTTCGAGAGCGAGGCCACCAAGGGCTCCAGCAATAGCGCCAACAGCGAGTTTGAGGTGGATCTTACCGTGGGGATGGCCGGAGGGGTGGGAGAGGGGGAACTTGCGGAGGCGGGAGGAGTCGTGGAGGTCGTGGAGGTCTTTGAGGGGGAGGCAGAGGATGGCCACGATGGTTTCGGGGTGTCGGAGGGTTTGGAGTGGAGGAGGAGGAGGGTGTGCTTAAGGCGGAGATCAGCGCCAAAGATAGGGTATTGCTAAACTTAGGGTTTTTTTGGACGGAGGCACCAAATTGATAACATATACCTACATGTGTAGTAAGTTTTTTACGTTGAACTTCTTGGTGTCCGACGTAAAAAAACTTGATTATAATTTCAAAAATGTCACCATATTTTTTTAGGTCAGATTTTTCTTTGTCCAACGAGAATACAATAACGTAAATTTCATATTTTATACTAGTGGTGGGTGTGTGTGTGTCGTGTGCGTGTGTGTGTCTTGGTTTATAAAAAAAATATAACTTTATTTAAAATTTCCAATTATTATTAAATATGTTTTTATAAAATAACTAAAAATACTTGTACAATGGGTTGGAGAAAAGAGAAAGAAAATGGGTGGGAGAGTTTTTGATTCCAGAGGATCAGGTCCATCTAGCGGTATATACTTTCGCACACTAGCATCTTCCCTAATAACGCAAGAGATCATTAAATACGGAATAATATCTCTAGTTCTGGGAATCTAGTCTGAAATTGTTGCAGTGTTTGAAAGAAAATAATATAGAAAAGAAAGACTAAACTTTATTTGTTAACATTCAAACAAACAATCAGCTAGAAATTCCTATTATAAAACAAAAAGTTATAATAGTAATTATTGTATATGCACCACTATATATTTTTCCTATTACACAGTCTGTGCAAAAATAATTTCTCATACATATGTAAACTAGTCAGAATAATTAATCAAAATCGTATTTTAAGAGAAAAAGGAAAGAAAACTTACTCAAAGTTTGCTGGATAATTAAACTTACATATGTAAACTAGTCAGAATAATTAATCAAAATCATATTTTAAGAGAAAAAGGAAAGAAAACTTACTCAAAGTTTGCTGGATAATGAAACCCTTTTAAATTACTAGCTTTTTCCAAAGCAGATCTCCAACTTTGGATCTTGATCATGTTCTCCTTAAATTTTCCTTCATGTTTAGCTAAAGCATCTCCATAATCTCCACATTGGTAACGCAGGTGTGATGGATTTACGTTGAAGAAAACAGGTACTACAATCTGTTCATTTCTCTCCATGCATTCAATCATTTTGACAAGCTCTTCCAAGCACCACTTTGATGAAGCATAGTCTTTTGAGAATATGACCAATAAAATTTGTGACCCTTCAATTGCTCTGAGCAGTGAGGATGATATTTCATCTCCTTTATCAAGTCTCTCATCCACATAGGTATGAATTTGCCTGCGCCGTAATTCTTTCTTCAAATGGCTAAGAAGACCTTTGCGAACATCTGTGCCTCTAAAGCTGATGAAGACATCATGTTTTATGTCAGTAACATGACAAGAAGAAGAAGAAGATGCCATCAATTGGACAGAAACAAGAGCAAAAACTCTCTTAATGGATCTGATTTGCCACTAACGAGTAAATTTATCTGTGAAGGAACAAACCCAGCACAAAGTGAAAAATAGATCTAGAATAAACATACTGATTTGGAGAAAGATAATGGTGATAAACACAAACCTGGGTCAAGTCACCAAACTATTGAAGAGAGAATTATTCTTAATGGTACCAAATAAAACTTGAAGGCTATGCACATCGTTATTTACGTCAAACGACGAAATTTGGTTTTTTAATTTTTAATTTTATATTATGCAATGCTGCCAAAAGAAATTATATTATGCAATTAAATAGTGACACGTACGGTATATCTGGTGTTTTTATCCTGCAGAGACACTTGATACTACCTAGATAGCAAAACTGTTTTGAAAAACTGGAAAAAAAATTGAGGCCCGTTGGATGAAATTATTTTTTTCAGACTATTTTCTTTATTAATATAAATAGATAATTTGAGCACAAGTCAACAAATACATGTATAAACATGAATGTTGGGCAAGAATGTTTCAATATTACTATCATATTCTCAAAAATATTATTGTTCAGAATGTTATTCTTAGGGATATTTATAAATATGTTTGATAGGATTTTAACATTCCTAGAAATAATTTTAAAATTTAAATTATTTTAAAAGATATAATAAAAAAGGTTGAATAAGTGGATTAAAATATAACTTTTCACATTCTCATAAAATATAACTTTCTCATCCTCACCATAGAAATAGAAATGAAAAAAAATAATATTATAACTATTTTCATGAGAATAAATAAAACATTGAAATATTTTTTCAAAAACCCAAACAAATATTGGAATCCAGAATATGAAACTCCTAAGTTAATATTTTCGGGAATAAGCTTTTAATTATCCATAAAACAATCACATAGACGAAAGAATTTTTAGAAATTCTTTTAACTTTCATCTGATTTAATTTTTATTTCATAATCACTTATGGCTTAAATTTCACTATTTTAAAATAAATTATCAATAAATAAAAATAATATTATAGTACAATATAAATTATTTATTATTAATTTAAAATATAATTTATATAGTTAAAAATATCTACTTATCCAAATTTTAAATATACTTTAAATATTCAAGCATAATACTTATTTGCATACTATATAATAAACATTAAAATACTGATTATAATAAAAATTAGAAATACAAATCAGCAACTAAAATAAAAATTGCCAGTGGATCAAGTATAAACATGAATGTTGGGCAAGAATGTTTCAAGTATGATATTATAATCATATTCTCAAAAATATTATTGTTCAGAATGTTATTCTTAGGGATATTAATAAATATGTTTGGTAGGATTTTAACATTCCTATAAATAATTTTAAATTTTAAATTATTTTAAAAAATATAATAAAAAAGGTTGAATAAGTGGATTAAAATATAACTTTCCACATTTTCATGAAATATAATTTTCTCATCCTCACCATAGAAATAGAAATGAAAGAAATAATATTATAACTATTTTCATGAGAATAAATAAAACCTTGAAATATTTTTTTCAAAAACCCAAACAAACATTGGAATCCAGAATATGAAACTCCTAAGTTAATATTTTTTGGAATAAGCTTTTATTCCATAAAACAATCACATCCATGAAAGAATTTTTAGAACTGTTTTTCACTTCTTATCTAATTTGATTTTTATTTATAATTACATATAACTTAAATTTTACTATTTGAAAATAAATTATTAATAAATAAAAATAATATTATAGTACAATATAAATTATTTATCATTAATTTAAAATATAATTTATATAGTTAAAAATATCTACTTATCTAAATTTTAAATATACTTTATATATTCAAGCTGCATACATAATTTATTTTAAATTTTAATTATATAATAAACATTAAAATACTGATTATAATAAAAATTAGAAATACAAATCAGCAACTAAAATAAAAATTGCCAGTGGATCAAATAGCCACAAATAAAAAATGTCCAGAAACCCGCGGACGGCGGAAAGATAACTTAAAAAATGGTATTTTATGAATGTAAATAAGTAATCAGAAGCACAAGTTATGCTATTAAAAACATAAATCACCAATGAAATCAGAAATGATATTACACAGTTGGTGACATTGCACAATGCATAGCAATGTCCCAACACCTTCTTACAGATAACCAAGAAATTATCCAGCTGATGCTAAGAAAGAGACGTTGGATGAAGATTTGTTTGCCGTAATTTCTTGTAATTTCAATATAAAACCGACACTAGGAAAAGAAAAGTCAAGGTGTGCATCAAAGTCCAATTATACAATTAATTGGGATTCTTTTTAGATTCTGTTTGTCTTTATATCTTTAGAACTAAGAAGTGGTCCTTCTTGAGGTAGTTCACACAATTATTATAGTATAATAATGAGGAAGCAGGTTAGGTGAAAAGAAAGATATGATAGTTTAATAAAAATTAACTGCAAGATATATTATTAGTATATTTAATAATTAATATGACTGAATTTTATATTTTTATAAAAAAAATATAAAAATATTTTAAATATAATTGTATTTTACTTATTTACCCTTATGTCCCCAAGGTGGTTTCTACTTACTTGCCAACACACCATCGTGGAGTTCGACCGTGATCATTACGACGACGGTTTCCCCTCTTAAACCAACAACCCTCATTCTTTCTATTGGTTTGTGCTAATGCGTCACTTTAGGGACAATTTTCCACTCTCACATTCTCTCCATTGATTAGCATCAATGACACTATTGTGGAGCTCAATTGTGACTAACTGCCTCGACAATGGTTTCTAGTTGTACTACTCTAGGGTTTCACCAATCATTAATCATGATCATTGTCCTTTTCTCTGGTTAATTAACTCCAATATGCACTCACTGTCTGCGGAGCTCGCAATTGCCTCAGTAGCAGTTTCTGCTTTCATAATGGCAACCCCACAAGTTTCACCTTAAGGCTGTAGTGATCATCGTCTAATTTTAAGGAAAAAAAAATGATTATAAAAAACAAAAAATAAAATAATGTTATCTGTATGCACCACGATGAACCATATATATGTAACACTAGAGCATGCTAGAACTTGTTAATAATGAGATTATATATTTTTTAATATAATTATGGTATTGAGGATATGGAAACTAAGGTTTTATACGAACTGTTTAATAGTTCTCACTCAAGCCACACTAGGTGAGTTATTTGAAAATTATATTTGTAACTAAATTTTGAAGAAAACATTTTATTTTAAAGATAACAAAAGACAAATATATTTTATGGCTTAAATATGTTTTTAGTCCCTTAAATTTAAGATAAATTTATTTTTGGTCCCTCAAGTTTAAAATTGTTATTTTTAGTCCCTGTAATTTTCAAAAATCTTATTTTAGTCTCTTAGGTCACCAATAACATATTTGAAAGTGACTAATTAAGACAGTTATGCAATATCAACCGGATTTAATGTGATATTTTCACTAATAGGGACACCAATAGGTAGATTTTATGCAATAATGTTTGATAAATTTCTTAACAAAATTTGAATATAAGGACTACAATAAGATTTTTTTGAAATTACAGGGACTAAAAATAACAGTTTTAAATTTGATGGACCAAAAATAGATTTATCCTAAATTTGAGGGACTAAAAACATATTTAAGCCATATTTTATTGATGTATTAGTGTACTCTACAATGAGGATGGAATATGAGGAATACCTAAGGATAGTATTATAGGCCTTTAGAGATAGACAAATTTATGTTGAGATGTCTAAGTGTGAGTTAAGTCATTTGATCTCTAGAGTAGTCATTGTTATATATGGTCTAATATTAGTTAGTTAGCTTGCACGTTAGCTGGCAACCAATCAATGCATTTAGCATGTGTCATAGTTTGTATATAAGTTTTGCTTATTCACTCAGTACAAAATAAACATATGTTTTTTTCATTCAATTTCTCTATAAAAACTAGTTTTATACAATTTCAACTAACTTAATTTGAGTGCCCAACAGTGGTATCAAAGCCAATATTTGTTGACTAGGTGACCATCTTAGAGTCTCGGACGAGTATTTGGCAATGAGAGGTAGTGTATCCAAGTGTAAGATTCCTTATGTCAAAAGTCTTCTTGGTGATGTGAAGGTTAGGTGACATGTCTCGTTGATGTGAGTTAATGGTGATGCAAGTATAAAGAGATGGCAAGTGTGGTTAAAGCTTTAAAGGCCACCATTAAATACTCTTAGATGAAAAAAAAAGGTTTCTGCTAAAGGGGGGTTAAACCATTGTCCTTTGTTTAATAGGAGGTTTGTTGGGGTACAAACAAAGTCTCAAATCATTTAATTATGAGGAGAAATAAAGGTTTATAAACACACGTAGTATCCATTAGCCTTTTGGGAGATGACCAAAAGCAAAATCATGAGGGTTTAGGCCCAAAATGGACAATATCATACTAATGTGGAGACATGTATAAGTGTAGGGATATATGAATTATGAATCCTGGTGCACAGGAAGAAGCAATGATAAGGCTAATGGAGAATCGACTCAAGTTGAACAAGTATGATAGATTTGGTGGCTTCTAATGATGGATCCATATATGGAGGTGGAGGTCTTCCTAGTAACATGGAGGTTAGAAGTTTGTCCTATATTGTCGTGAATTAATAGTGGAAAAGTGGAGGATCACCATTGAATATTTGTAGTCTATCTGCTGAAGGGAAGGTTAACCGTGATCATTAGTTATAAGGGAGGACTATTGAAAGTACAATCAAAATCCCACATCATTTGGAAAGGAGGAGAACCAACAAGAGCTAGTCCAAGGCATCCTCCTCACCACAGCTTAGATCAATATTAAGGCAAGATAACAACTTATTGAATTTCCATCTAGTGTGCTTGCCTTTTCAGAGTGTAGTGCAAAGCTTGATAGAGGCCAACAATCACCTTGTCACAGTCCTCCTCAATAGTGAATGGGGGAGAGATGGAGTTATTGGTGGTAAAGAAGTAGGTGAAGCTTCTAGTGACATTGTTAGCAAACTTTATCAATCTGAGCAGGTCTAAGACTCGTGTTGACATTAAATGATGCTTGTGCAAATGAAGACCAGAGCCTTAGACCCATATAGTCAGATGAAACTATTAAGGTGATTAGTTCCTTTGGTTTGACAATAAGCTCATCAATTTGAGTTGGTCAAAGACTTGAGTCTCCAATAAATTATGATTATGCAAATGAAGACCAAAGTTTTCACCCAAAATAGTCAAGTGA